GGGGTGGCTCCCGCCACGTCCTTTGCTCTCCGCCGCCCCTGGGTGCCCGGGCCGGAGGCGCCTCGTCCCCCCTGTCGCTTCCTGCTGCTGGGGGCGCCGCGGGGCTCCGCTGCGCTGCCCGGGACGGGCGGGCAACAGGTCCCCGAGGCCGCAGCAAGGGCGCCCGCCGCGTGCAGCAGGCAGACCGGGAGGAAACGGCAAGCGCCAAGTATCAGCGGAGAAGCGAGTTTCCTAAAGTTTGATCGTTCGTTCCGGCTCAGTGTTACGGCAAGGGAGAGAAAGACGATTTGCTGCACTGTTCTTGGGTAGCTACAGTCTGCCAAAAAATATATAGGTTATCTCATGGTGAAGATAGTTTTCCAGGAGAAAGCAAAATGCCAGTTAAGTGAGGTAGAGAGCCTTAAATTGTCAGCTGATTATCAGCTATTTCTAAAGAACAATGATCTTTGTGTGTGTTACAAAGGGCTCTTCAGTATGTAGCTCATCTTGCATGCAGGCTCACACTTGTAAGTTCTTTAGTGTGAGTTTTTTTTTTTTTTTAAGAATTCTTCCAGCATTGTACAACTTCTTGACACTCAGAAACCACGAAGTGAGATGAAACTAACATATAAATTTGACTTAGCTGTAATGCAAAATTACGTAGCTGCATTCATTATCCTTTGCAAAGTAGGTTATATCCTCTGTAACAAGAATGTTCCCGTCACACTAACGTCAACTTTATCTTCACCAGGTTTCTCAGGCTGCAGCAGACTTGAAGCAGTTCTGCTTGCAAAATGCACAGCACGATCCCCTACTGACAGGAGTATCTTCAAGCACAAATCCATTCAGACCCCAGAAAGTTTGTTCATTTTTGTAATTACGTGAACTGCCTTGGTATCTTTCAGTGGTAAGTTCTTGAATTATTCACAAACTGGCTTATCAATAAAAATAGGTAGCTTTAAAGGAGGCTGTGCTAAAAGCATTGAGATGTCTGGCTTGTGCAGCTGGTGTTGATGTAGGTCCCCATTTTGGGCACCTCCTTCCTCCCTGCGGTGGTGGGGCTGCACTGGACTGCACAGGTGCTGTTCACTAGCACTGCGAGGGGCACTGAGTTGTGGCAGAGCCTCAACCACTTTCTGTTGCTGCAAAAGTAGCAGGGCCAGCTATGAGCAAGCTGTTACTTTGCCTAACCTGGATTGATAATATGTTCTGTCTTGCCTCCTTTTAAGGGTGTTGCTTCCATTTTCTCACATGAGAGTTATTGCCTGACAGTGCACTTTGTAAATTAAGATTGCAGCAGACACTTAAGACATTTTAGTTTTAGGATTTTCTTCTAGTTTCCTGACAAGTTACCTGAACTAAAACTTTTAAAGAGAACTTCCATGAGTAGCCTAGTGATGTTGTAAAGAGCACTGTCCTCTACAGGATACCCCCTCTAACTCAAATGGAAAGATTATGTATTCCAAGAATTGTATTCCACTTAAGTAAGCTAGCATGTGGATAGGCAGTATAAATAACTAGAAACAGCTCACACTATTCCAGTTTACATTTCAAAACTTTCACAGGTCGATTAACACTGCTGCTATCACTGTGAAGCTAAACTACTAATCTAGTATTGCTTGAAAATTCTGGTAATCACGTTTTAGACTAACCTCTGTAAAAAGCTGGGTGCGGTTTAGATCCACAGTATTCTAAACAAGAGTGTTTTAATTTCAGAAATTTTACACATAACATGCATAAAACCTTTACCATCTTCCGCCAGCTTGCATCTGTTGGGTGTGAGAGCATATACAACGTTATTTCAAACCACCTGATGTGCTTTAATAGTTGATAATCCTTAGAATCCTCATAGCAATTCTTAACATTGAAATATTGTTTTTGTAGCAGAACTACATTACCCAAAGAATTGTATTTGCTGTATATAACTTATTATTTAAATAGCTTTAAAGAAAAATGAGCACAATCAGATTTGTTAAAATTGTTCTCTCATTTGAGAACTTAACCATTCAGTACCTTCAAGAAGATTTCAGAAAACTCCCAGAAAGCATCTCTGGGTAAGATAAGCAGTTCATGCTGTTAAAACCTACAGTGTAGAGGCTGGTGCTTAATTGTATTAACACCCCCCCCCCCCCAACAAGAAAAACTTTTTCCCACCTTTTTCTAAATCTCTTGCATATATTTCCCCTAAATAGGCAATTTCTTCTTTGTAATCCTGGTATTTGAGGATGATTCAACAGAGGTCATGTTTGCACAGTCGGCATGACCTCTGTGGAGAGAAAAGGAAGTATAATTCTGTCTCCTGGGCTCCTTGTAAGCTGCCCAGATTCCCCCAGCTTTGCAAAGGCAGAATCAGCGTCTGATACTGCTGTAGGTGTCAAGTGACTGAACAGTTTTTCTGAAAATCTGACTTACAGGAGCCAAAGTGCTTCAGTTATGTCCTAAGAGCCTTGGAGAGAGGAAAGGGTTTTAGGAATGGTTTTGGGAGATGGTTAGGAAGTTATTTTATAATCTAGTAAAACTATAAAACAGCATTAGAAAAATCATTTTTTTCTAACTAGCTCTCCCTGGCATATTTTGACCATGCATGTTTTTAAATATGAGGTGCTTCATGGAAGTATGGTACTTAGCTCTAATTACCTTTCCTTGTTTTTGTCTTTCAGATCTTTTAGCATCTTTCCTAGCTGCTGATGTGTGTAGAGACAGAGTGCCTCAAGGAGTGGCTTGGTTTGAAGTCTGTACAAAAGCTTAGCTTTAATGTGCCAAATCTAACTGTAAAATTGCTACTATTGTCAAACCTCTTACCATCTACCTCTCCAAATGAACTGTATGCTAATTAATACTTCTGTTTCATGAGGGAATCAGTTTTATATACCAAGCAAAAAAAAAATAAAGTATTTTGACTTAAGTCTGGCTTTGGAATTACTGGAACAAGCTGAATCATTTTTGGAAGTGTTGATACCTCACCAGTTACTGCATATGTTCTGTCACTGCTACAGAGCAATAGCAGAGTCTGTCCCTTTAAATGCTCCCTGCTGCTGCAAGTTTGTCATGAATCAAAGAACAATGAGTCTTCATCAGGACTATACTTACAAACACAAAAAAAGTTATCTTTGTCTGTGAGTTCACATCTCAGCTATATAGCTGTCCCTTTTCAAAGTTATTAAAATAAAAGCAAAGGTAGTAAACCAGTTTAATTATCTTTTCCTAAAAAGCAGCTTTACAAGAGTAGAAGGGTTACACTGTAAGCTCTTTAGATAAATAGTAAAAAGCACTTAAAAAGGCTGTACTTGAAAGTAGTTCAAATAATAGCTTTTTAGGTACCAGGGAATGAGTGGACTTAGGGCAGAACAATAGTTCTTTCGAATTCATAAAAGTCAAAAGACTAAGGATGTATTTTTAAGTTTTAATAGGAAAAAATCTGCCCAGAGATATTACCTGTTCATTTGAGGGTAGGGTTTTTTTTTTTTTTAGATGATAGCTTTCTAAGTGGGACATGTAAGCTGGTCCCATGAATTCTTCCCAAGTGATACTATTTCTTCTTATGAAGAAGACCATTAATTGTTTCAGGTACATACCTCTCCTAAATATAGTATTATTTAGAGAAAAGATAGCTGTAGAAATTTAGCATATTATTTTTAATTTCAGGAACATAGCCATTTTATATAAGATCTTAACCAAAAGAAATAGCATAGACTTCCTAAACTGAATACAGCCTACGTTTAATACTCCCTGCATTAGAAAGTTCTTGGAAAACTCACACCATTCCTCTCAGAGGACAGTGTACTGTAAGTTAGAAAGAAGTTTAAAATATTTATACCTTACCTAATTAATGGAAGATAAATGAGTTGAGCTGCTTTATAGAAGGATAAAAACATAATTGCAAAATAGTTTATTTTCAAATATCTTTTAACAAAAGTCTTTACTGTCTTCAAGGGTGCAAAGTAAAATTTCCCTCTAGAGCACAGAAGCACCAAAAGTGAAGAGATCTGTTATAGTTTTAATGTTGGCAGTTTGTCTTTCAGCAGACAGGTTCAGTAACATTGCCCTGCTTAGTAGTCCACAGTAACACAGTCCATAGTCATTACCAGCAGTTCGTAGGCAGCAATCACTTACAAGTGAAATTTTCTTCTGCTTGTGTCCATTTCTCTGCGCTGAAATTCAAAAGATTATTCAAAGATTATTAATCAGCAAATTCATGTAAGAGGATAGAAACACCTCAAGGTGATGAGTCCATAAGTCTGCTGCATGGATTACATCAGGAGTATTAGAACTCTTTTTTTTTTCCTGATACAGCTTTGAACACGCATTTTTTTAAGTTTTGCCAATCAGCTAATGCAATTTCATGGTAAAATGACTGGAAAAGTCATTTGTCACTGCCTATAGTGATACTTCCATTTCACTTAGAGTTGTGCTTAAGTTATTGTTGTTACCTTCCATTCACTATTAATAAGTGGCTTGTATGCAAATAGCTTGATCATTTTTACATTAGGATTCTTCCATTCACTCTGCACGAGAAGAGCTCTAGCAAAGCTTACTAGGCAGTAAGCTTACACTGGAAGCTTTTTTCCACACTTGCTTTTAACTGTCTGTGTTAAATTACATTCTGCAAATAGCTAGCCATATATTGATATATATCAACCCTGCTGTTTTTATTTTTCAACTGCAATACTGCAGAACAGTTCTACTTTACCTGTTTCTATAAAAGCACCTCTAAGGGTGTTTCAACTGAATGCTTACTATTGAAAACTTTTACTGTTGCTATTTACCCTGAGATCTGTGGTTATATTTTATAATGTCAGTTTTATTATCTGCTCCCAAACAGAACTCGTATCATTAGTTTAAAACATACCTTATGAATCCATTCATATTCTCCAAATTTAGAATCAAAGGTGCCTTTCTGAAGGGACCTCAGCTTTAAGGTAAAACGTGGCCCAAGTTCTTGAATCCCCACTTTCTTTTCACTCTTGAAGATATACCTTCAAGAGAAAACAACAAAGCAATTATAAGAAAGCTCTCTCATTTACAAGTTGAGGGAATGGGATGGGGGGAGTTACCTGTGGAATCTGAAAAAGATGTAGTCTCGCTGATTGTGAAACGTGGCTACTTGTCTTCCAATGAACTGAGGATCGTGTGGGAAGAGAGAAGCAAACATGCGACCAATAGAATGGCCAAGGCGTGTTGTAAAATTATTCAGGATTACTTCAGGGACATGTTCTGTGGGCTCTTTACCTTTTCGCTGGAAAGTCATTAATGGATAATACCAAATTATTTTATTATGTTACCAGAGGCAAGTTTTAAGTTTAAAGTAAAATAGAGAAAAAACATCAGGGGCCAACTTTAAACATTTAGAAAAACGATTCAGACATGCTAAATTTATATACAGGTGAAGCAACAGGCATAATATAAAACTGTTTGGTTCAACAACATAAATTTAAAGTATAAATGGGTAATTTTGCATTCCCTGTCTTCTGCACCAATTTCCAGGCCTAGCAGCACCCCCTACAACAAAGGATCAGTTTAGCCCTTACAGGAGTCTGAATCTCTGGACTATTGCCATATAAATGTATCTGGGCTAGCTTTTAATGAGAGCACATGAAATTTGAGAATTACCTCTTTCAGTAAAGGACAACAAAAGCCATTTTACTGCAAATTATTTAGGGCTAAGTAAGTAATACTACAATGCTATAAGGGTAAATAGAGCTAAGTTTTATTCAAGGCCAGCAATTGCTTTCCCTAGAGTTGTACGGTATCGGCTGTCTTTGGCAGACAATTAAAGAAATTAAGCAGAAACTATGAAATTGAAAATATGCTGCTTATGGAACTGGAACATTTTGGTCCTTGGCCTTAAAGAGTGTTTGTGTTTATGCACACACACTCCGCATTTGTGTGTGTGTTATGTGTACACATACAGATACAGAGTTACATGTACAAAATAGGCATATATGAATTGTTCATAAATACAAAAAATCCTTAAGAGATCAGCAGAAGCTCACAAAACTGCAATCAGTTTTGAGAGTTAAAATATATTTATCATTAGACAATGCACTGCACATTTTATACCTCTGTTGGTGGAGCCTCACCTTTATCTCCTTACGCAAACGGACACTGCTCATTCTGAAGTGAGCAGTTGGGCCATCAGGCAAGTGACTTAAAACAAGACCATCTGTTCACCGAGTTAAAGAAAAGCTGACGAAATTCAACGTAATTTAGAGAGCAACATGTTCTGTGAAATGTCATGTTATGGTATAACACTATATGCCTGATTTACAAGGTTTTATTATTTTTCCTCAAGTATGTTAATAAGCTAATTAACTAGCTTTCTGCTGTATGTTCATTAAAAGTTTGTTTTAATAGCTGAATGGAAATATATTGTAGCACTTTGTCTTACTAATTAATAATGGCTCGCTCATCTAGTTAGTAAAATTAAAGGGAACTCTGGTCAGAAAAAACTATTAATAAATCCAACTGTAAAGCTTAGAGAAACAGAATGCCATCTATCTATGCCCTTAAACAAAGTTATTTTCTTTGTTTGAATAATTTCAAGTCCCATTAATCATTAGATACTTAAATGATTAGTTATCTTTCTTCATAGAACCACAGAATGCTTAGGGTTGGAAGGGACCTCTAGAGATCACCTAGTCCAACCCCCCTGCACACGCAGGGTCACCTAGAGCACGTGGCACAGGACTGCGTCCAAGCGGGTTTGGAAGATCTCCAGAGAAGGAGACTCCACAACCTCTCTGGGCAGCCTGTTCCAGTGCTCTGTCACCCTCACTGTTAAATTTTTTTTTCCTTAAGTTCCTGTGGAACTTTTGGTGCTTCAGTTTGCGGCCATTTCCTCTAGTTCTGTCAGTGGTCACCACTGAAAAGAGACCAGCACCATCCTCTGCACTTTCTTCAGCTTTACAATTACAGATGTAAACTGCAGTGAAGAGAAAAAAAAAATAAAGTAACATCATATGTCTTTGGTACATACTAAACTCTCTTTTTCCCCAAAAGTCCTAGATATCTTTTTTATCTTATGCCTAAATATCTTTTTTTTCCCCCAAAATGCCTAGAGCTAGTACCTCTATTTTAATACACAAAGGATACTTGGTATTTTGCGATCTTCATTAATGACGATTAAATCTGTGAAGTCTCTTGCAATACACTGTGGAATAATTCTTTTCAAAGCCAATCCTCTTCGGTAGTAGACATGCGAGTTAGGTATAACAGTAGACAGTTGTTCACAGAATCTCACTGTTCTCTGCAAGACCGGTGGGTTAATTTGCAATCTTAAACTTAAATATACAGCCAAATTCAAAGAAGGATTGATGGTTATTCATTCTGACTGCTTTTCTTTTCTCTCTCTCTCTTTTTTTTTTTTTTTTAAAAAAAAAAAAGAGACATAAGGAGTAGTAATATTGCTCGATTGCTGGAGATTTTTTTCTTGATTTCTATGGTACTGCATGTTAGAACTGTATTTTTCATTTTTATTTAGGATGTATTTGAGTAAAGACTGCAGTTCCCTCCAGGCTGCAGCACACAAGAGATTTCTTTTAAGAGGAATATTTTCTTCTCAATCATAGTCAAATAGAAAAAAAATTCAAAAGCAACCCCTCTAGAAATCATTATTTATTAAGGACATCAATTTACAAAATTTTGTTAACATTTCAAAACACAACATAAATATTACGTGAGGTACTCTCCCTGTACCTGAGTTTTCAGATGGTTTCGGGTTGCCATTTTCCCATTCTTAAATCTACTTCTTTTATAGTTTTCACGAAGTGTCAAAAATGTCCCCAAGTAACTAATGCAAAAGGGAACAAATCCATGACTTCTTTTTTAATGAAAGAACAGAGCTAAGGAAAAACTGCAGGTTATTTACAAAAAGGTTATCAAAAAAATCAGATAGGAGCAGTTGTTTTCAGTTTGCTAGTTTTTCAGCTTAAGATTGCATGAAGTGATTATGGGCTAGTAAATCTTGTTATATTTGAAAGGTAATTTAATTCTCTCAGGCAAATGATGACCATCTTGAGCACTTCTAGAACCCAAAGTATGTGTGTCGTGATCAAACACTTTAGTATCAAACTAATTGACTAACGATTTAGCATTAAGATATCTCTTGCTCAAACAGCTGACTTTACCTCTACGTAGAGGCTACAACAAGGTTGTATTTTTAAATTATTCCTACAACAAAACTGGATTTACTAATTGTAGTATGAATCTTGGCTATCCTATAACCGTTCCCTAAATAAAGCATACCTACCCCACGAGGTCTATCTGATGTTGTTATAAGAATCTTGGGAATCGTTTGTCTGTTGAAATATGGTGCAAATTCATCAGTTGATTCATCAAAAGCAACCTGGAAGTGGAGAAATCTTGTTACTGTACCACATACTGAATAGTTAAGGAACAATTGTTCAATCTGATCTAAATCCATATGAAATTAAAGTTAGCAGGGAAAAAAAAAAAATCAATTCACAAATATTTATCCTATAATTAATCAGACCAAGACATACTTTTAAAACATATTTTCTAATATAGTGAAAAATGGCAGACATGTTTTGCTACGGACAATAATGTAAAGAGCAAGTATCTAAGGCAGACAATAAAGAATGGCATCATCCTCTAAGGAATTCATCACATGCAAAAAATAACCCCCTAACAGCTTAATAGGAAAGAACATTAAGTTTCTTCAATCCATTTTAAATCATATTTGCATATATATAAAAAAATACAGAAACAAAAATTACCTCTTCGTCATTGGGATCTACAGTTGTTTCATCATATACTCTCTGATTTTCAATCGTCTTTGGCACAGGTTTTGGAGGCGCCTAAAATATAGTTTTTTAACACAATATACACATTATTTTTAAATATACTGTGACCAATGTTCATACAACATCTCATGTAAGCTTCAATAACATCATCACCGTGGTTAAGAATATGTGTGGATAATGGGACACCACAGAGCATCCTATGAAAGGAAAACGTGCTAGGGCTGTAAAACTGCTTAGTTTCAATCTAATGAAGAAATGTCATTAAAAAAAAGTGGAAGTGGAGCTTTGTTATCTGTGGAAGAAGCAAAAAACAAAAACTACTTCCTTCTGCAACACATTTTACCCATGAAACCTACAATTTCATGACTAACACTATGCAATAGCCAACCTGCTGATACAGTATGCCCTTGTGATATTATAGCAACACAGGAATCAACAACTTATTGTTCAACAGGTATTGCCAAGGTGCATTTGGATTTGCCCAGGGAAAAAGGGAAGCCAAACCCTTGCTCATGGCTTGGACAAGGCCAGGAGCTCTTTAGCTCCCAAAGAGGCTTCCCAAGATTCTCCCTGGAGACGCTAGGCCTGCGCAGGAGGTGCTCGGACCCGATAGCTGTGGCCACCGGGAAGCAGCTCAGAGAACATAGCCCCACAGCAGCCAGGCCCTGCTCTTACACCTCCACGGGGATAAAGCAAGTGGGATGATGAACACCAGGACAAAACCACGACCCAGGCGCTTACCTGGTCCCCGAGGGCCTCTCGCTCTTTCCGGCGCTTCTTCCTACTCGCCAGCTTCTCCTGTGGGCACAACGAGGCGCCGTTAGCCGCGGGCCCGGCCCAGCCCGCCCCACC